ATAACAGGAGGCTTCGTAACTTTGTTATAGTATTGCGTAAGAAACGTTTAGTTTTCAGAAAACTTTAAAAGGAAAAAACATTCGACTTGTGCATCTAAAAGAAATTTAGGTTATTTCATATTTATTTTGTAATATACTGTATGTATGATTTTCGAACTGATCAAATTTTATTCAAATCTTTTAATAATTGAATGTTAGGTAACCTGATATAGATTTGATTACTTAGTTGACGCGCAACCCCAGTCTTTCATCCCAAAGTAAAAGAAATATTAACAGATAAAAATACCAAATTTGTTAATCCTAGAAAATTAAGTAAAGCTACCTTAGTGTATGATGTTATTGGTGCAAAATTTTATAAATCAATCTATTCTGATTTTAGTGTTGTAGTCCTATTTAACAAGGATGGAGATTTTGATGGAACAATAAAAGGATTTAAAGCATTAGCTAATGCTTCTTCAATAACAAAGATATGCTCTTTTTATGATATTTTATTTTCCGTGTATTTTATTAACATTTATTTTCTTTTAATAGCTTGTTATTGATATATCAAATACTGTTGGTGGGGTCATTGATTATGTTGCATTTCTTGATCAACTCCTAGTACTTCTAATTTTACGCCTTTAACTCAAGATATGAACGTTCAATCTGATTTTGTGAAAGAATTATCTTTCCATACTAGATATAATGACTTTGATGTTTATGAATTTAATAACAATGAAACTGGCCAAATTTTTGGTTCTGCTAAGAATTTATAGGACCTAAGAAAATAATCTTTCTAGCTATTCTACAAAACATAACCTCATCACTTATTTACCACATAAGTTACTTGGAATACTACAAATATACCTTGGAATATTACAAATAGGATTATTCTTTCAAACGGTGTTTCTGGTTCCACTACCTCTTTTGTTTCTCAATATCTTCGAGAAGTTGGCCAGGTATCCACAATTTCTGTAGGAGGATTTATAAATCAAAATTTATCTTTCGCGTCATTCCCCGGAGGAATAGATACTGATAACGATGAGCTTTATTTTGATGTCTTCTTAGACCTTAGCATATCTATCATCTACATATTTAGGTATTCACTATCGAAATCTTATTTTGACCTTAAATTTACATGAATCATATAGTTACAAAAATCCTGACGCTGTGTTAAAATTTGATTTTAGACCTGCAGATCACGGGTTATTTTATGAACAAATGTCAGAGATCCAAGTTTATTATGGGTTGAAGCTGCTAATTTTATTAATTCAAATTCAGCTCAATAATTGTTTGTTCATAGTTGTTTTTTGATCTTCAAAATTGATACGTATTTACTGTAGAATTATGAAATTAATTAGGGTGTCATATTATAATTAATCAAAATTGTTTCTCAAATTTTGCGAATTTGTTAAGAGCGGATTTACGCCAATTTAATAATTTGATCGATCAGTAATTTTAGAATAAACGTAATTTATATTGTTCGTAACAAAATTTGAATCGAAATTAAAAGTTTATATCATAAGAGTAAAAAGAAATGTTTATGCAAATCAGCTAAAATTTGGATGTTCTCAGTGCTCTCTGCATTTAACAATTTATATGAATATGAATTATTGAAAAATGTTCTTTAGGCCGTTTGAATTTAAAAATTCGTTTAACGTCACCTCCCCACCACCTGAGCTCCCCTCGACATTAAACAAGCCAATAGAAAACGAGTATAAAAAAAATACAATAGCACTAAATCGCACCACTGGTTACAATTTATGCGTTATGACCTGGTTTTAATGGGTTTCCCAAAAAAGCAAAGATTAAACATAAAATTTTATCATACGATTACTATATCCAATCAGAATCAAGATTTTGTGTACGAACGCAAAACTCGAATTGAACCATCCACTTCGTTCCACTACGTTCCTG